CAAAAGACGCTGCTCCTCTCTTTCTCCCATGAAGAGGGTCCTAGGCAGGGGCCTCCTGAGCATTCCTGAGGCCTGTGCCATAGCTGAGTGTTGTAGCTTGGGGTCATCTCTGTCTCCGCTGATGTGAACACAATTAGTTAAATACAGCTAACTCTTTGCAGAGCTGCCTTCCGTTGCAGAGGCAGGTGCACAGCTTGTGAGCATGGGATGGAGAAGAAACTCCCCCTGCACTCACACCGACTCCTCTTGGTGTCTATTTGTAGTCTGCTCCCACTGTGTCCAGGCAACTCCCTCAGGACAAAGGAGGCCAGCAAGCAGAAACCAGCTCCTCCAGCCACGTCCACAGCTGCCCTCACTATTCCCCAGGGCTGTAGGAGAATATTGCAGGTATGTGCTACACGTTGCTGTAATTACTGTGCTCTTTGAAACTGTATAAAAGCCCTGCTGTGTACATAGCATTTCTGAAAAGATTCCTGAAGAGGTGTTTTTCTTAACAGTTCTGTTACTCCCTTCAGATCTTTTTACTAAAGTTACCCTTACAGTGTGTTATTCCCCCCTGTACCTCCAGGAAACACACATGGACACTTCCCTGGGGCACTGTTTGCTCTAGCATCAGGAACTGGTACATTTTGAGTCTATGGAAAACATACAGGTCTTTTCTAGACCATTGATAGTTGAGATCGTGGGTCATAACAGACTGTTCCATTGTGTGTGATAAACTGAGGAGCCTGGCGTTAACTTCCTGGCTCCTAACCTTTTCGGAGTGAAACGCTGCAGGTACGCTGGCTGAAGAGGGGGGCGCAGGAGCGAGGGTAAGACCTGCAGAAAGCCCTCCCAGGAGCTGAGAGTAATCCTGTCTGCTATTGTGTTTCTGTGGCCCTCCAGGAAACCTGGAAGATGTCTGCGCAGTGGGACCGTAGGCAGAGGCTGGGGTCCTTGTACCAAGAGCGGCACAAACAAGCACAGGCAGAATGGGCAGCGTGGGAAGCCTGGTTTGCAGGTCACAATCAAGAGCCAGCCCAGGTACTGGCAGCATTTGACACCATCCAGGACAACAGCAATCCTCTCCAGCAGGGAGTGGAGGGTGGAAGTTCTGCAGGCTGTGGGGGCAGTGTTGACATGCAGTCAATGCGCAGGGGGTTGCCTGCTCATCCCTGTGAGGAAGAAGCTGCCAATGAAAAACAAGGTACAAAAGCAGCAGTCCGCTGTGATGAGGGCAGACACTGATCGCCCTTTCCTTGAACTTTGGCTTCATAGGTCCAACTCTTCCCCTTAGAAAGCAAGCTGGAGGGGGCACTGATCTGCGAGTCTACTGTGCTTACTGAGTTAGCATTAATTACACTGTGAAGAAATCCCTAGGCAATTCTATGATTAACCTAAGGGCATATGCAACTGTAGAACTACTAATTACCAGTTCACCATACGAATCCCACCCAGCTAGTACTGAACCACAATTTTATCTCCCTTCCCTCCCCAGTACTTAGTATTTAGGGTGCAAGTCTATTCCTCCTTACTTCACACACCCCCTCCAAGGCTTTCAGGCATAGACCTGATGGAGAGTCTGGTGCATTTGCCAAGGGTGTCAGCACGAACTTAGGTCTGCAGGTCAGCCTCACTGCCATCCGTACACATCCACGCTCCTACTGCTGGAAGACACCCCTCCTGGAACTTCCGCCTGCCCCTATGTTTTCTTGTTATACCTGATTTCCTAATGTCTCCGTTTCTGGAAACACTTTTTCACTACCTGTCTACCTCTCCTTCTCCACCCAGACTCCTCCCAAACAAATAGCATATCCCTCATTACTTTTTCCCTCACTGGTCCCAATTCTGTTGCAGTTGCATCAGGATGCAGATGCTGGGGAAACTTAGGTTCTCACCTCCCTCCAAAATGCACTGCCTATTTTTCCTCTTGGTGTTACAGTTGTCCTCTGAGAAAGACCTGAGCCCCAGGGAGGATTCTTCTAGGATTCTGGAGAAGTCAGCACTGGCTGAAATTGACAGGAAGAGAAGTACACCAGAGAGCAGAGGACATCTGGTAGGAGCTTTTTTGGAATGAAAGCAGTAATTCCCACCCTGATAATGTCTTTGTGAAACTGATGCAGTGTTTTTTCCATTAGTGCTGTAACAGTCAAAGAGCAAGCAGCAAAGGAGTCCCCTCATCAGGAAAAGTCATGGTGTTATTAAATGCCCATTGCTGGGTTATCAGGTGTTGGGGAAGCAGCCAGTGGGGCAGTGAGCCCTGAAGCTTAGGGCAAAATCTGCGGTCAGAAGGGTTCAGATTGCTTGGTCTGCCCTGCCAAACCCAGCGAAGAGCTCATTGGAAGTTCAGGCCCTGCAAACGGCCATTACCTCCTCCCCATTTAGGATGCTCCCAGGGATGTCAGAAGGAAGGTGCAGGGTCAGCTGGCAATTGTAGTGAAGCCCTGGAACCACCCTGACATTCCCCTGTGGGCATGTGGTGGAGAGTGTCCTGGTTCCCCAGCTGCTGTTGCAAGGTCCTTGCCAGAGGTCCTCTGGGAAACAGCTCCTCTATTAACCATCTGCTTTGCAAACACTCTCTCTTCCTTGGCAGGAGTTTGGCAGTGAGAAGACTTGGGCTCCCCCTCCTCCAGCCCAGTCCAGCCCAGGAGAAAAGAGAACAAGGAGAGGTGGGAAAAGGCCAAAAACCCTCCATCAGTGGAGCAGAAGAGAGCAGCAGCCAAGCTGGAGAGAATCCAGCCTGAGTAAGCGTGCACCAGTTCCAGCCACAGCCTGGGGCAGTCGAGGGGCTGTGACCGCACCAAGGTATTATGGATCCAAATCCCTGAGGCCTGGGATTGCACACAGCACCCTCCAATTTCTCATGACATGGGAATGACCTAGGTACTCCCTGCCTCCTCCCAGGGGCCTCTCTGTGGCCCACAGCTAACTCCTAAAACTCATTCCAGGTTGAAAGGGGCTAGGTGGGTGCAGGAGCTGGACCAAGGGAGAGGCAGGCAGGGGCCCAGCCAGCCAGTGAGAGACTTTTCCCTGCTGTTGCAGCCACCTTTCCCCTCGAGCAGCTCAGGTTCTGAAAAGCTTGGAGCCATATAAAACCCGTCGGGAAATATTCAAATATGTTGCCAAGAGGAACAGACAGAAGCAAGAGGAGCAGAAGCAGTTCCCCTGGTAAATATCTCTAAAAAGGGAGGATGAGTTCCCCTGCTGCAATACCCATCCTTCCACTGACAGCAGCATCAGGGGAAAGGGGATCTTCCTCTTACCACCCTCACGAGACAGGAGCAAGCGTCTGAGTCTGGCCTTGAACTGAATATTCCTGAAATCCAAGGGGGAGTTGCTGGGTACCAGAATAGGCTTTCAGTACAGGATGTCAAAGTCTGGGCTGATGACAGAAGGAGCCCTCCGATGTTTGGCACTCCCTTTTCCATAGCCTGTCCTTCCTTCGCAGAGCACTGACACCAAGACACCTCCACCAGGGGTCGATCCTTGTTCAGGCCAAGGTCTTGGCCCCACCTGACTCAGCCCCAGGCTGATTAGCTGCACATGGGACCCTCTCATGGGCTTGGGGGCAAGGGGCCTCTATCACAGGAGAGGGACCTTGGAACTTCACCAGAAGAAGATGCCATAATATAGGGCCTGAGTTAGGCCTACAGTAGTTCTCTGCCTTCTCCCTGTTCTCACCCTTCTTCTTCTCCCTGTCCATCTTTCTGTTGAATTCTCTAGCACTAGGAGAAGATGCTGGTATGGCACTGGAGGGGAAGGCACTAAGAACAGCAGCTGCGCAAAAGACAGATGAGCAACATGAGCGAGTCCAAAGACAGGTCCTGAGCTGCTGCTCTGGAGGTGCCTGGCCCTAAAGCTTGGCCAGCCCCAAGGGATAGCACCTGCATGGCTGAGTGGAGACACGCTCATGGGGGAGCTTCCGCTGGTGCCGTCAGTGTTGTCTCCTTTGTAGCAGTTGAGCTGTTCACAAAGGGGATGGAGGAGCTTCCCAAATGCAAAAATCCACCTCATAAATAAAGGGCAGGGTGGATGCTCGCAGCTGGAATGACCAACCTGTGCCTAATGATGGATTTATTTGCATGGACTATACAAACCTAATGTGTGATCCCAGAATTATTTGTAGCAGCAAAAAGCAATAATGTCCATATACACTCCGACCTATGCCTCCTAACACACAGTACAATATGGTGTGTGTGCACTCCTTGCATGCATGTGCGTGCCCACATACACACATGCACACAATTTACTCATCTTGTTTACAAGGATTCTAATGCAGTCAGCATTGCACACCATCATGCTGCACCCCCATCTTGCATATACACGAACACATGCACACAATGCATTTCACTCACATCCCCTGCCACAATGCATGCACACCACAGCACATAAACACCTCCCCCAGACTATACAACCTTACCACCAGCATGCACCTCACATACAAGCATATACCTGCTCTTCACACCCACACTGTGGCACACCGTTGACACTGCACATACACATGCCACTTTCGACACCTTTGCCAAAAGGCCAGCCCACCTGGTGAGGAAAACTTTAAAGCAGGAACAAGGGGGAAGGAGATGACAATCAACAGACAAATGAAGCAGCGGTGGACAGCGTTGGCAAACAAAGTGTGTGGGGTGGACAACAGAGACTCTGAAAACAACAAAACAGTGCGGATGTGGACCCCCCTCAACTGTCTGCACACAAATAAAAAAAGTGCTGAGAGGGCAACATGGTGGAGGAAGTTCTCATGCTTTTTGTAGGAAACAGAAGAACTGGGCACCTCTGAGGTGCTTGTGCACTAATACATGCAGCCAAGGGAAGAAACATGAGGAATTAAGAGGTCTGCGTGCACCAGCAAGGCTATGATCTCATTGGGATCACAGACATGTGGTGGGATAGCTCACAAGACTGGAATGCTGCATTGGATGCACACAGGCTCTTTAGGAAGGACTGGCTGGGAAGGGAAGGAAGGGGAATTGCCCTTTATGGGAGAGTGAGAGAGCAGCAGGTGCCAGCGACTAAAGATCATCCACCTGAGAGCTTACAGGTCAGAATTAGGGGCAAACCAACATTATGGTGGGTGTCTGCTAAAAACTCCCAATCAGGAAGAAGCAGCAGGTGACATTCAATTCAGACAACTGGAAGAAGCCTCCTGCTTACAGGCCCTCATCCTTATGGGAGACTTGCACCATCCTGATATCTGCTGCAAGGTCAGGGGAGAAAGATAAGGTTAAGAAAGATTTAAACAAGTTGGACATGCATAAGTCCGAGTGTTGAAGGAGCTGGCTGTCGTCATAGTGAGGCCACTCTCCATCATCTTTGAAAGGCCACGGCAATTGGAGGAGGTTCCTGAGGTCTGGAAGAAAGCAAACATCACTCCTATCCTCAAGAATAGCAAGGAGGAGGATCTGGAAAACTACAAGCCTGTCAGCCTCAGTTTGATCCCCGAGAAAGTGATGGAGAAAATCCTCCCAGAAGCCATCTCCACACAAATTTTGACCAGAAGGTCATTGGGAATAGTCAGCATGGACATAAAGAAAGGTAAAATAGTCAGCACAGGCATAAGAAAGGTAATTCTATGATGAATTGACTAGCTCGGTGGATAAGGGGAGAGCAGTGAGTATTATTTATCTTGACTTTAGTTAGGCTTCCAACACTGTCCCCCATGGCATCCTCATAGACACTGATGAAGGATGAACTAGATAAGGGACAGGGAAGTGGACTGAAAATTGGCTTAACTGCTGGCATCAAAGAGTTGCAGCCAGCTGGAGGCCAGTCACTAGGGGTATACCTCAGGGGGTCAATACCAGCTAAAATACTGTTTCACATCTGCATTATGACCTGGATGATGAGATGGAGTGCACCCTCAGCTACACTTGCAGATGATACAAAACTGGGAGGAGTGGCTGATACACCAGACAGTTGTGCAGCCGTTCAGGGGGACCTTGACAGGCTAGAGAAAAGGGCCAACAAGAACCTCATGAAGTTCAGCAGAGGGGAATGTCAAGTCCTGCTCCTGTGGAGGAATATGTGGAGGAAGTACGTGTTGGGGGCCGATCAGCTGGAAAGCACCTTGGCAGAAAAGAACCCGAGGGGTCCTGGCAGACATCCAGTTGAGCATGAGCTAGCAATGTGCCCTTGTGGCAAAGGCGGCCAACAGCATCCTGGGCTGCATTTGGAAGAGCACAGCCAGCAAGCAGGTCAAGGGAGGTGATCCCTCCTGTCCTCAGCACTGGTGAGGCCGCATCTGCAGTGCTGTGTTCCATGCTGGGCTCCCCCAGTACCAGAAACACATGGATTGAATGCAGCAAGTCCATCAAAGGGCCATGAAGACAGTTCAGGGCTTGGAGCATCTGACATCCTCAGGAAAGGCAGAGAGAGCTGGGATTGTATACCTCAGCAAAGAGGGTGCATATATACTGATGGGAGGGTGTAAAGAAGACAAGAGCCAAGGTCTTCTCAGTAACACCCAGGGACAGAACGAGAAGCACTGGGCACAAGCCAAAATAAAAATAATTACATTGAAACATAAGGAAAAAAAAAATCTTCCTTACTCTCAAACACTAGACCAGGTTGCCCAGAGAGGTGGTGCAGTCATCATCTGTGGAGCTATTCACAACACAACCAGACAAGGCCCTCAGCAACCTGCTCTACTTGATCTTGCTCTGAGCAGGGGGGGGCGGTTGGACCAGAAGATCTCCAGAGGTGCCTTCCAACCTCAGTGATTCTGTGAAATGGATTTTAACACACAGCTGTCCTCTTCTGATCTGCCTGTGAAGAATAAGAAATAATGCTTACAAATGTGGCCATTTAAATAGAAAACATGCTGATTGTTACACCTGATAGAAGGCTTCACACACATGCCTCGTCATTGCTCTCTAAGCATTTCTACCTGTTTCTCATTTCATTTGAGGTGTATTTCCTACCTCTTGTCATCTTCTACCCTTCCCCTCCCCCCCCACAGAAAAAGGTAAGTGAACCTACACGGTCAATATACCCAAGGAGGCCCTAGAAACAGCCCCCACAGTCCTACACATCTTTGCAGAGAGGTGTTTGCCCAGGGGAGAACCTACGATTTAGGTCATAGCCTTGATGCTAGATTCCCAAATGTCGTGTTTATTCACAGTGAGGAACCATGTCGGCACAATCAGGGCGAACTTTCACATGGCTCCTCATGCAGTTTGAGTATGCAAACTGTGACCACAATGCAGGAAAGGGAGGGTCGGATACTGGAAGAGAGACACTCAAGGTTCATGAGTTGAACAGAGTAGATTTAATGAATGACTTACACTCCAAACTGCGCAGGGAGCCCTGGGAGCCACGTGGAGGGGTTGCTGATGGGAGGCTGCTGGATGCACAGGTCGGACACCCAGGCGGGACTCACTCTGTGTATCCTAAGGGCTCCTTTTACATACTAAAGCTATTTCCTTATCTCGACTGTGCTAAGCTTGAGTAGCTATTGGCTGGGAAGCAGCTAGACATTGTTGACAAAACGGAATACGCATGTCCGGCTTATTAGGACTGGTTAAGGCCTCCTGATGACAAGTTCCAGTTCCCTTTTCAAATCCAAGCAGTGCTCACATATACACAACTCCATGCTGTGAAGAACTTGCTCTGAAAAAGGCACCTCCAGATGTCTCTTTGCCTTGCTTCCTTCTGTCAGGGGGGTGGCTGTTTAAAACAAAAACAATAACAAAAACAAACAAAAATACTCAATCATCTCCATATTTTTTGTCAACAAAAGAGCTGCAGAAGGATCAAAGGACACTGACTGGCTGGGCAATAAAATGTCAGAGAATACTCACTGCAGGGGAAGCAAAACACCTAGGGGAGAAAAGAGCCCAAATCTTAACTTCACACACACAGTGACAAGCTGTGCCCTAATGGCCAATGGTCAGGAAGGAAACCCAACCAGTCCAGTCCAGACATCCATGAAAACATAAGCTCCTTGCTCTGCAGAGTTCCAAAGAAGCAAAGCAACCATTGTTAGAAAACTCCCAAGTTGCTTTTTAGGGATGGCTGCTTTCAAACTGTGTACCCATGTGCTACTGCATCCACAGTAAGAGAGAGGCAAGAGGGTCACAAAGTTGCTTTGTTTTGAACAAGCATTAAGCAGCTCAGCAAAGCCTCCCCCTATAGCTCTTCAGTTCAGACTGAGACTAGTAATTCTCATTTCCGTGGTTAAGCTTGTATTTCTGATCTCAGGCCTTATTACAGCTGAAAGACAAAAAGATGCACCACGCATCACTCAACACAAGTAAGAGTGGACTAAATCACATTGCAAGTTTGTCCTATCAGTCAACTAAGCTTGTGCACTGTGGGCTTTCAAGGCTACCTGACAGCTAAGAGGAAAGGATTAAAAGAGCATAGCACAGAGTGCTCAGAATGGCACAGAAACAAAATGACAGCAGGAGATCTCTGTGAAAGTGCCATTTGTTGAAGAGTGCTCCCCTTTCCCATGGAAAAAACAACTGGCATGAGAACATACTTCACTCAACAACATACACGGAAGAGTGCAAACACTTATGGTCGGAAATACTCAACCAGCTTTCCCTAAAAATAAAATAGTAAACAACACAAGTTACCTTTGCAATGGCTTGCTTCACTGGATTGCCCTGGTCACAAGCATTTTCTGCTGGTCTGTAACACCTGAGAGAATGCAGCAGAGAAAGACAGAAATGAGCTGTTTCAATGTTGTCACATTCACAGAATCACAGAATCGTTTAGGTTGGATGGGACCTCTGGAGATCAGCTAGTCCAACCTCCCTGCTCAAGCAGGGACCTCTAGAGCATATTGCCCAGGATCACATCCGGACGGGTTTTGAATATCTCCAGCGAAGGAGACTCCACTACCTCTCTGGGCAACCTCTTCCAATCCTCTGTCACCCTCACAGCGAAGAAGTTTTTTCTCAGGTTTAGGTGGAACTTCCTGTGGTTCAGTTTCTGCCCATTGCCTCTTGTCCTGTTGCTGGGCACCACGGAGAAGAGGCTGGCCTCATCCTCTTGACACTCCCCCTTCGGATACTTGTACACGTTGATGAGATCCCCTCTCAATCTTCTCTTCTCCAGGCTGAACAGGCCCAGCTCTTGCAGTCTTTCTTCCTAGGAGAGGTGCTCCAGCCCTCTAATCATCTCGGTAGCCCTTTGTAGCCTTCACCCTTTGGTTCAGGTCTGAAGAATCCATCTCCCACTCAAGAAAGCTGCTTTTTGCAGAGCGGAATCTGACTGGAACCTCGGTTGCATACATGAACAAGGGAAAACAGCTTCCAGCACGATTCTTCTGGAGCAGCAAGAGCGGGAGAGAAGGAAGAGCTGGGGTCCCTTCCCACAATACATGGCAGGAGCCATTGTGAAGGTGTCCATATATACTTCCTGCTCCTCCAAAAATCAGTATTTGCATTATCACCAAAGAACCCCTTTTTGGGGGTGGGGAGGGGAGACCTACAACGGACACTCATGCTATCCCACACTCATTGTGCTTTAAAGGCATTCAATCCAGTACGATGAAAGGACACTCAGTACCTGATCAGATCGTTCCTCCGAGACCACTCTGGGCCTCAGGTATCACCACCCTTGATATCTGCACTGTAAGATGGGAAAGCATTAGGAGAAAAACTACAACTCAGCTTTCAAGGACAATTACATGGATGGGGCTCAGTTCAGGGGTGATAATGCAGACAACTTCCTAATACCAACTGGCTGAGTAGGAAGCCTGAACTCCAAACAGGCCTTTTGAATATCATGTGAAAGTTTCTGAGAATTGAAGCAAGGCAGTTGCTAGGGGTTTAATTCTGAGACTCCACACTTGCCCACATTAGTCAGTTTGCAAGAATAGATGCTGCTCCTGCTCACAAGCATTGCTTCTCATTTTGCACCACCAAACAAGCTTTCCCCAAATAAATATAATATAAACAATGGAACTGGCTCATCCACAACAGGTGTAATTTGCTTACTTGGTTTGGCAGTTCTGCTGTTACTGGGGAAAAAAAAAAAAGAAATCAAAAAAAAAGAAAAAAAAAGAAAAGATCCCAACCCTCAAAAGAACAGCTAAAAAGGAATTATTTAAGAGCCTTGACTAAACTCAACCTTAAGTTAAGTAAAGGGCTGCTCAGGCAATTAGCCTGATAGGTGCAGCACAGGCAAGCGTGGGACTCAGGATGGTGCAGTCCATAGAAAGGGGGTTTACTCTGGAGTGCTCCCCAAGAGTTAAGGAACCCCCGCTGCACCACAGCCAGATTCACCATACTGCAGGGTTACAGTATCCCTCCAATGACCCCATGACTGCTGAACAAACTTAGGCAGCAAAGGGGAAGTGACACTGCAGACTCACACCATAAGCATCTAGGTACTGTGGAATTTTGCACGGGGTTATTCGTTGAACATGCAAACAGTTATTTGTTGGACGTGTGCAGTGTTATGACATGCGTGCATACTGTTATCTGCTGTGCCATGTTTTCTGTTGTGTGACTGTAGTCTGGCATTATTTGATTAGATAAGGAACCAAGCCTGGGAAGGATAAAAGAAAGTAAGCCACATACCTTTGTGTGGACTCGGGCTCACCATCAGCTGGCCTGTGGACCCAACAACCCACCCATCAGCAGGGACAGCCCTGATGCCAACTGCCAGCAAGAATGTGAATCATCCTGGTGCAGCGCAAGCGTGGTAAGAACAATCCAGGGAAAACTCTTGCTGGATGGAGTGGACCAAGAAGGACAAAGAAAGGGCCAGAATGGTCATTGTACCATGCATACATGGCTTAACCATACAGCTTTGATATATGTTTATTTATCTTATATTTCTAGCATTACTAAACTGTTTAACTTTGTTATACTTGTAGAGTGTTTAGTGTTAATTGTTTAGTGTTGTCCAGTGTCTGTCATATGTGTAGAACCACTTAGCTCTAACAAATTCTTATACTTGGCAAACAATGATCTCTTGAGTTCAGCGTGACCAATCCTGGAATCTGAAAGATCCGGGAAAACGTCCCTCTGTTGGCACGTCACCCAGCCAGACACTACAAAGACCACTCCTTTGAGAACAGAGTTCAGTCTACCCCTAAGAAAGTCACTGGCACACTAAACCTCTCTCACTCACCTTAAAAAGCCACTTCAGCCAATATTTAGCCATCAGGGGTTTTATTTTCCTGCCTTTTTTTTTTTTTTTTCTTTCTTCCAGGGAGAGCTTGTTTCATTCTATAGCTTCCAACAGAAGCTCTATTAGCATAAATGCTCTGGCTGATATAGATTTCCTCAACCAAAAGATTTTAGACTTTCAGCTGAAATGCTCTTTCTGCTGCCCATGGGTAGAGGCACACAACCAGAAGACAATGCCTGGAGTCCAGGTCACTCTACTGATGTGGAATCTCTCCTGCTGGCACTAGAAATAGTGTATCCTCTTATATTCACTCAGCGCAGATAAGATCATACCAAGGGCTAACCCCCTCAGGCCCCTGGCCACATACAGTCACAAAGAGAAAAGTATGGAAGAAGAACCACACAGTTTCAGTAACAATGATTTAGTAGAAGAACCAGAGTTTTCCAAGGCACATGACACCCAAGAACAAGTAGGCATATTCATTACTTGAATAATGTGCAACTCCTCTTTTTCCCTTCCTTCTCCAGCTCTGGTCAAGGTCTCCCATATATGACTCAATGCGGAGGAAAAAAACAGGCAGAACAGGGTTAGGTAGCCACAGACATGTCTCTCAGAGACCGAGTTCCCCACACGGGACCCTGACTCCCAGCATTATGTTTCAGGTCCCAAAGTTCCCTCCTCCAAGCATCTCACGGATCATCTCTGACAGAAACATGGAAAGGTCTCTCAAGTGGCAACTACTACCACTGCTGCACCATCTCAGCAAACCCCCCACACCTCTCCCAGGCAACAGACCGCTCACACACAGCTACTTCTCCCACCACCGCATCTTCGGCCTTTTTCCTCACATGCCTTCCACTAACATCTCTTTCCATCACCCAGGGTTTCTGGCGTTACTAGCAACAACAGGCTACCCCAGCCTAGAAGTAAAACTTGCCTCCTGTCTCATGGAAAGGAACAGACTGAAGAGTACTAAGTCATCTAAGATCATAAGCACACATGTAAATCACAACATTCTGTAAGTTCCATAAAAGAAAAGCCTGTGTTGTACAGGAAACGGAAGACAGAAAAGCATCTCGCACACATCCACTTCAGCAACATATTGCTAAAGCAGGGCTCAGGAACTAGGTCTTTCACCAATTCTGAGACGCACACCTCCTCACTAGACAAAAGGCAATAGTCAGTTGAAATACTTTGTCAGCTGTTAAAAAGACGTAGAACTATTTGCGAGACTCCTTCAGGAACAGAGAAGAGAAAGTGGTTTCTATGTTTTTTTTCAAAAAGACTAGGCAACACTGTAACCTTTCTTCAACAAAATCCTTTGTTTTCATCTCTTTCTCCCAAACCCAGCTGGCACCATCACTACTGAACTAACTTTTGTGCCAACTGCACAAAAACTTCCTACAGCAGCACTAATATCCTTAACTGCACCTTTCACTGAACACAGGGAATAGTTCGGGTCAATATGCAGTCAAGCAGAAAGTATTAGGGGGTAGATGGCAAACGCAAATCTGTTCCTATAAAAATATATTCCCTCTCAGCATGGCATTTCAGAAGAGAAAACTCAAGGCAGTAAAAAAGGTCTGTATCTTCCAATTCAACTTTTTGCACAAAATAAGTTTCAGCTGTGCTGTCTTCAGGCAGAGAGGAAGTACAGCTCAACCTTCCCAAGGTGACATTCTGGACTAACTTCAGGTTAAATACCTAGCTACGGTAACAACAGCCATTCTTAAACAGAAGCACATCCTTCTCCAGTTCTAGGAGAGCGCTCACCATCCTTGAGACTCTTGTTCTCTCCTTCTTTACCAAACACTTGGGAGGTTAGAAGCAGTTTGATCACACAGGAAGATCACTTTTCTCTTCATAATTCAGAAATGAATGGGGAAAGCTTTGATTTGCTAAAGCAGCCAGAGCCAGGGAACACGGATGGCCACAATGCAGAAGCAAGGCAAAAGGAATCTATGCTTAGATGCTTCCCTCCCCAACAGCAATGCACACCACCATGAGAGGGTTATGCTTTGTCTTTACAATTTAGGTTTAACTAATGAGAAAGGAGTAAGGACACCGGTGTCGAGGAGTATCGGAAACAGAAGGAAAACACGCGCCCTAATCTGTAAATCTTCTGAAAACACTCTGCAGGCAAGGGTGTGCTCAGGTCCTTCTTCTTTGTCCAGGGAGCACAGTGCCTGTTTATGGCCGTCCTTTTACTTTCCTCCTTAGCAACTGCAGGAAAAAAGGAAGTTATCAAAAAAGTGCTAAAACTCTACCTATACCAACCTAAACTCAGGCTCTGTTCTTTTCACATCTCTCTTTTCTCCGCATTACTAGGGATGACAGCTGGTCAGGGATCATCAGTTTAAGTTGAAACCCCCCACCCCACTGCCAGTGTTCATAAGCTAATCAAAACCACTGAATGCTGCACTTCCACAGTGCAGTACAACAGCAACTCATGCCTATTTACTTTCCCCACCAGTCTCAGCACCCACACCCAGAGCGTTTCATCTTTCCACTACAGGAGAACAGCAAGCAGCAGAAGGAGCAAATAAAGCACCCTCTCTATTCCTTTCACTCTTCATCTGCTGTCCTAGGTTTCACCAGTAATGGGAGGTCTCACAGCTCAAAGCTTTGCTGCACC